TTTCCCTGGGTGGAAGGGACTGCTGACGCCATTCCTCAACCTCTTTTGCCATGAGATGTTCCAGTTCCCTTGGGTCACCCCTTTCATGGGTTTGTCCAGGTGTGGCTCGTCCCCTCCTGCGCTGGCCCATTCAGTGGAGTCATCCACTCCATGCTTGATGTAAAGATGGACATGATGCCCTTCTTTAAGTAGCCCCATCCCAAGGGAGAGGCAGACAGCTAATCAGATAGATTCCATAAGATGCCCCCCACCCCGAGACATGGAGGAGGACAGAGGTCACCAGGAGGAGGGAGCTGTGGCCTATCCTCACAGCATCCAGGAGGCTTCTTAAGGAGGTAGCCCTTGGGTTTGAATTTGGGAAGACAAGAATTGTCAAGGAAGCTAGAGCGAGGGTGATATTCCAAGCAGAGGAGGTGGTTCATTCCAGGCCCTGCAGCGTGTGCTGTTGTGGTGTCGGCTGTGTGCCGGCTCATAGACACCCTTTAGGATAGAGGAGAGCTGGGTCAGAGCATTTCCTCGCTGGGATCTTCAGCGAAGCAGACAACCCTATTTCTCCCACAGAGTTGCTGGTGGGTCAACACAGTGGCCTTTCCGTTAGCATTCAGCACTGACTGTGCCACCAGAATTTTGTTGTTGTTGTGAGGTGTTGTCAGGTTGATTTTGACCCCTAGTGACCCAATGTGACAGAGTAGAATGGTCTCATGAGAAGATCTCCAAGTCTTTTTTTCATTCACCAAAATACTTGGTGGAAAAGAGCTTCCAAGCATTCAGTTAGCAGCCAAGCATTAACCCCTGACCTCTGTGTCACTAGGGCACCAGGTACCGGGTGATGCATATCAGAGAGAGGCATGGAGTGGAGGTGAGGACCACATGCTGCTAAAAACTTAGGGTTTAACCTGAAGGTTCTGTGGAGCAATAGCATGCTTGTTGAAGCCAGGAAACCAGGTTAGGCTTGCACAAAGAGTTCCGGTGCGGTGAGTGGATGATGGTGAGAAATCCAGGTTCCCAGGCTCCAGCCAGGGGCCAGCCATGTGAGCAGGGCTCTCCATGGAGAGCGGTTTCCAGCTGCTGTGGCAACGCTCTCAAACGTCCTCCACTGTCGTCCTCTGGTTTATAGTAACATATTGCCATCTCCAGATGCCAAGTTAAAGAGTTCTTACCAGTTTATATCTTTAACAGTTGAGATCGTAACAAATTCAGCCCCAACAAAATAGACAAGTGGTTTGAAAACTGATCACTTCAGAGAAAACGTAAGTCAAAGCACCTTGGAGTGACACGCATAGCCAAAACAAGAGATTCTTGTCAGGCACATGGTGAGGTAAAAGCGTTAATATTATTTCACCCTTTTACAACCTTTTTTTTAAGATTCACATGTTCTTTATCTATTTATATTTAAAATTGTTTTTTTCTGCCAGAAGAATATGATTTTTTTTTTAAAAAAGCTTAGCAGGCTGCCATAGGATAGAAAGATTGATGGGAATGAGAATCCCAGGGAGCAAGTGAAAAGGGTATGGTTGCATTGTGGATAGTATCATAATTAATGTTGTTTAAATATACATCACTAAAAAAAAACCCCCCCAACCATTCATTAAATATTGCACAGTATGGATTAATATCATACAGTTGTGCTGAGTGACATAATCAGTCACCAAAGGACAATTATGGTCTAAGATCAGAATTATAAAGAGCTAAGGAGGAGAGCTCTGGTAGCCTAGTGGCAAGAAGCTGCACTGCAATCCTAGTGGTGAGCAGTTTGATGGTACACACACACACACACACACACACACACACACACACACTAAAAAATAAAATAGAATCATTTTTTTAAAAAGCTAAAGAAAGGTGTGGTAGCATCGTTCAGGGAGAGTTGCTCTGTTAAATCAAAGGCCCTGCGTCTCTGGTGGTTCGAATCCACCAACAGCTCTGCAGGAGAAAGATGAGCAGTCTCCTCTGTGTAATTTCCAGCCTCAGAAACCCAGTGGAGCAGGGTCAGCAATAAACCAGCTCTGGTTCACCTGCAGTGAGTGTGAAAGAAAGGTTTACACACTGAGTCAATTTTGAAGTTAGAAGTGTTGGGGCAGTAGAAAGAGGAATAAAAATCCATTTTTTAAAAAAATCCAAGCAATATGTACACATATTTTGGAATAAAATTCACAAAAATAAAATATGTATACAACAAGAATTCTTTGCCTTTAAGAGACTGGAGATGATTATGCTGAGTGAACTAACTCAGTCTCATAAGGACAAGTCCTGCATAAGGCCACTACTGTAAAAATAAACACCATTATTGTAAAAATAGAAGGACAACTAGTGAAAAAGGTATGAAAGTCCAAGGTGGTAGGGGAGGGAGGCGGGGTGGGGTCTGTGGCTGAGGTTAGGCAGGGGAAAGACACAGGGTTGCAGAGTTTGGTGGGCAGAAGGATGGGGACAAAGGAATTAGAAAAAAAATCCAGTGGAGACCTGAAAAGATAGGTAATAGTGGGCATAGACCAATGGTGATTAATAAAACACAATGTATGGGAATGATGATATGAAACACAATGTGGATGAAGTAATGTATGAAACACGGTGTGTACAAATTTTGTATGCAAAGCAATATAAAATAACTTTAAAAAATAAAAGTGTGCATTGAGATTGTAACTCACGTTCTCAGGCTGGTCAGCTCCTGCCCCAGGTGATCTTCTCATCTGACTGTGATTCCTGGAAGGCAGGGAGCCTGCTGTGGATTGAGGAGACCCGGCTGAGGAGGAGGCAGCCTGAGGTGGAGAGAGGGTTGGGCCTGGACAGTGCCTTCAGTCCTGGCGCACTTCTAAGCTACCACGAGGTGGGACTGAGGCAGACAAAATGCTCTGGGCTTCTTCATCTGTAAAGTGATTGCCACACTCAACTAACAGCAGCAGAAAATGTTCTGTGCCTTTTTTTTCCCTTGATGTTGTTGTTTCATTTTCATTTTATCACTATATACTTAGACTCTCACCTAATAACACTTGTTGATTATAAGATGGATGAATGAATGAATGACCGAATGACTAAGTGGCATAATCTGTTAGATCCTGACCTAGCTCTGACAGATAATGAGTGTGCACTGTAGTCACTGAATAAGCTTGAGTCTGGGTCGCAGTGGCTGGCTGATTGGGCCCTTCCCTCCCTGTGCTGTTAGCTTCCATGCAACCTCGTAATATGAGCAATAGTGTAGCATTCCTACACCCTCAGTAAATGCTATGATTCATGCTTGCCTGTATGCTTCCTCCCTATTTTTTAAATAAAAAAACATGAGGTATTAGTAATTCCCCATGTATGCCATTGTCAGCATTCATCCTTCACAACTCCCTGTTTCTGTACAATTGCCATGATGCTCTTATCCTTCTTTGACTTCGGGCTTGGCCTCGCCATCTCCCCAGCCACTTCCTGTTTCTAGAAATAAAATGGAAAGGGAAAATGTTCTGCCTCTGAAAAGCTGGAGAGCCAGGTTGCTGGGAAGACAAAGGGAGAATGAGCCTGAGAAGGGACCTGGCTGAGAACTCCCCGCGCCCGCTGACAGCTGCTCTGGGCTCGAGTGGTCTGCTGAGGCCAGGCGGCCTGCTGTGTCTGAGTCCTGGGGACCTGGCAAGCCGGTTTGTCCGCCCCAGCCTGGCTGGCTCTCTTTCCTCCTGCCACACTCACCTTTCTGCTTTGTTCTGCTCAGGGCTTTTCAGAGCTCAGGAATTTAGCCAAAAGCCTCGATCAAGCTCAAGAGGAGTGCATGTCTTATGTCCCCCAGAACTTGAGGGCCTAGGCACAGGGCCATGATGTGGAACTGTGTTAGTCTGTGGGGACTAGGAGGGTATCCAGTCCAGCAGGGGCGGCTGGGATGAGAGCATTAGGGCAGAGCAGCGATGGCCGTGTGTGTGGTCTGGGCTTCCAAAAGCCCCGAGACACAGGGTTGATGCCAGCCCATCCCACCCTGCAGGGACTCAGGTGAGGAGGCTGCAGTCAGAGTGGTAGTTCACACTAACCTGGGTAGTTAGCCAAGGGTTAGGTGGGCATCACCCTTCTCCGAGGGGCACAGGCTAGCCTGGTGCGAGGTAAGAGGTCATTAAACCCTGAGGTCACACTGCACAGGTCCTCTGCAGCAGGGCACTAGTGGCCTGAACCACCCCAGGAAGAAGGCTGAGTGGCAGGAGCCAGTCAACATCTGCTCTCTCTTCCTCAAAGGCCAGTCATAGCCCTTCTGTGGACTCCCTGCCAACCTGGATGCCCTGTATCAAAGCTGCCATCTGTCCTGGGTACAGCTGCCTGTGGGTCACCCAGGGCAGTTCTGGGCTGGGTGCTGCCCTTCTCCTCCAGCATTTACAGTTGGCACCAAGTGCTGGGAAGGCTCATGGCAGGCTCATTTATCTCGGCAGCACTGTGCCTTCCCTATCTTCACCTACAACCCAGGAACTGGATGTCCAGGAAATGAGGGACCACTGTAGTCCCCTGCAGGCTACAAAGTCAGTGGTTATGTTCATTGTCAGCCCCCATCTCAAAGAGAGGTCACCCATGGAAGGAGGGAGACATGGGAACAGACCATGGCCTAGTCCATCACCCCTCAGTGATCCCTCCGTGGTCTCGGGCTCTCTGTGGCTGGTTCCTCTGGGCTGGAGGTCCAGCAGAAGCAAGCTTTACATCTTATATCCTTGTGTTGAGTGATTTAGGTCTGGTACTAAATGTCCATTGAACTGAAACTTGCCTGAAGGGCTGTTACTGTTGTTAGATGCCATGAAGTTGATTCTGTCTCATAGCAACCCTGTGTAACAGTAAAAATGTGTCACAGGATTTCTTAGGCTGCGTCTTTACAACTAATTGCCAGGTTTTGTTTCCCACAACGTGGCTGATGTACTCGAACTACTAACCTTCTGATTAGCAGCCAAGTACGGTGTTTGTCCCTGTTATCTAGGTCCGCGCTGGTAGGATGGTCTCATACCTGGTGAGGTTCATCCATCTAGTTGTCAATGCCTCTGTTTTCTCTTCACCTCTAGGTCCGGACCTGGATTCTCACCGTGGGCTACACAACCGCCTTTGGGGCGATGTTCGCAAAGACATGGAGGGTCCACGCCATCTTCAAAAACGTGAAAATGAAGAAGAAGGTAATCACTCTGCTTCTGTCTCAGGCATTTTCAATCTCCACTTGGAATTTGTTTAGCAAGTAGATTGTTATTTGTGGTTGGTGGTCAGTAAATGGACCCTGACTGGTGGTGACCCCTGTTAACAGAACACAGCATAAGTGATCTTGCATCTTCTTCATGATCTCTGATGTATTTGAGCCCATGGTTGGGACTGTTGTGTCAATCTGTACGCCAGAGGAAGAGAGGGCTGGCCGTTTGGCCTTCTGCTTTGGACACATAATACAATCAGTTGGGAGCATCTGAAAAGTACAAGGTATAACCCATCTAATAGATAGTGGAAGCCAGCCTCCGGGGCTGAGGCTCATCCTCTGTAGTTTGCTGACTTTCCCCAGGGCTGCTCAGAGTGAGACCCTGATCAGCCAATCAGCCGCATCAAGGCCTCCCCTAGGAACTGGTTAGAAAGACTACTTCCCAGGCCCCACTAGCCCAGCCTTACTGAGTCGCAGTGCCTGGGGTAGAGGCCCAGAAGCTGTGTTTTTTTTAACAAACCTTAACAATGACTATGGATGATACAAGGAGAATTGATGCCTTTGAGCTGTGGTGCTGGAGAAGAGTATTGAGGGTACCATGGACTGCTAGGAAAACAAACAGATTCATCCTGGAAAGGGTGAAGCCGGGCTGCTCCTTGGAGGCAAACATTCTGAAGCTTCATCTGACATACTTTGGACATGTTGCAAGGAGGGATCAGTCCTTGGAGAGGGACATCATGCTGGGAAGGGTGCGGGGACAGTGCAGGAGAGGAAGAAGACCCTCTATGAGATGGATTGATTCAGTGACTGGGGTAATGGAGGTAGGTGTGTCAGAGATAGTGAGATTGGCACAGGATAGAGCAGAGTTTAGGGCTGTTGTACATAGGGTCGCTATGAGTTACAGGCAACTCGACAGCAACAATAACAACAACAAAAGTGTGCCTGATCCACGCCATGATCTTCTTAATTGCTTGCTATGCATCTGAAAGTTGGACAGTGACTAAAAATGACAGAAGAATTGATCCCTTTGTGTGTGGTATTGGAGAAGAGTTTTGAGTCTCCCATGGAGTGTCAAGAGGACAAAGAGTCTGTCCTGGAGCAAGTGAAATCAGGGTGCTCCTTGGAGGCAAGGATGGTGAAACTCCGTCTCACAGACTTTGGGCACGTTGTCAGGAGGGGCTAGTCCTTAGAGAAGGACATCGTGCTGGGAAAGGTGGAGGGTCAGTGAGAGGGTGTGTTGTGTTACAACACAGTGGGTTGACAGGATGACCCTAGCAGTGGGTGCAAGAGTGTCAGAGCTGCTGAGGAAGGCACAGGACAGCGTCAGGTTCAGATCTGCCCTTCAGTCAGGCGCTGTGAGTTGTTGTAGCCTCGGCAACATTTGATTTTTGAGTGGGTGGTGTAGATGTAAAGCCAAGTGTGACACCCTTAGGTCGAAGTGAGTTCCTACTCCCGGTGGGACCTTGGTCGCACGGTTGATCAAGCGCCAGGCTGGGACTCCAGTTGAGAGAGTCTGTACTGATTCTGACACCACCATCCTGGTTTTCAGAATCAGCATTGACTCTGCTGTGTCAATACGTGATTCATCCGTATTGTGATCTGTAATAAAGAGCCTGCCTTTATGTTCTCTCACTCATGTAACTGCCGAGCGCGAACACTCAGGTTGTCTGGCAACAATCGACAAAACATGTCAGGGAGAACTTCAGTTCAGTTGTCTGGAAGCTCAACGTGAGGCGACAGCGTGATGTGGCCTCCAGCAGTCGCATTCATCCCGCCTGACTGACATACTGAGAGGAGAGGGGAGGTTCCCTGCACCCTGAGAGACTCTGCCCTCAGAGAGCTCAGGCATGTGGTGGGCCCAGCTTTCAGGGAAGGGGCTCCTCTGGGGAACTGCCGAAGACTTTGAGCCCAAGTGTCAGCCCCCAATTTTGTTTGCTAGAAGATGACTGATGCCCCGTGAGCACGGCATTCTGGTGTGGGAAACTCTTGGAGGCTTCTCCTGGTTGCCCAGTCATTCCCGGAGGTTTGTGGTACTGAGCCAAGTATCATTTATCAGCCAAACAAGAAGAGACAGAGAAGAAAAATCTAGACCTTACACAAACTGAAAGCTCAAATCGGCGTAAGTCAGACACAAAGGACAAATACTATAAACCCATTTATATGAACTATCCAGAATAGACAGATGCATGGAGACCAACTTTTATTAGTGGTTACCTGGGTCAAGGGGCTGGAGAGAAGAAGAATTAACTGCTTAAGGAGCTCTGAGGGATAAATTGGGGAATGGTTAGTGTGAGAGTTGAACAACATGGTAAATGTAGTTTTTAAATGCCACTAAATTGTATACATAAGAAAGGTCAAAATGGCAAGTGTTTGTGGGGAGAAGGGTGCAACAATGAATGAATGGAATTCCAAAATCTCTGTAGATGTTCATTGAAATTAAAAATAAACAAACTAAATTAATTAAAAAAATGGCAAGCGTTTTGTTACATATATTTAAACACAATAAAAAAATCAAATCAGAAAATAAGATTATCTTGAAAGAATTGGGCAGATGCTACTTAAAACTGAGATCTTTGTGTGTGTGTTTACCGTCAAATCAGATCTGATTGGTACAGGAGGAAATTGTCCCTCCTTCTCCAGCAGAGCATCTGATGGTTTCAAACCGCTCACCTCTGGGATTGCAGTACAGCTTCTTGCCACTAGGCCACCAGAGCTCACCTATTTATTGGATTTTTTTAAAAAGAATTTTGGACTTTCTTCCCCTCCCCCCGCCACTTTTCACACTGATACATATCTTAAAATTACATGAAGTTGTAAATGCCATTATGTATCTATTTTTCCATAATCTTTTTATTATTTTTCTTTGACACCATCTTCTCCTCACTCCATAAACAATGATATGTCCTCCTTCCCCCACCAAACACATGCATAAACTTCACTCTATATGGCCACATTTTTAGAAAACATTAGGTAAAAGGAAACCTTAAAGGTTTTAACAAACCTCAACATGCGTGACACTGAGACCACAGGAACTACATGGGGTCTGGCAGTTACCACTGACCACTCTGTTAGGGAATCACAACAGAAGGTTCTGGATAGAGCAACAGGAAATGTCCAACAAAATTTTAACAGAAAAAAATGCGCAGGTTTACATGAGTAGCTAAGCCCCTGGGAGTGGAGGACCATAGCCTCGGGGGATAGCATTATCAATTGTTGTAGTTTAGTCCACAGAGACAATGTTCTGCTTACTATTTTGGGGTATAGCAACTTACTGGTAACCCTGATTCACCCTTTGAACCTAGAACAAAACTCACCCCATGAATCAACTTTTAGCCAAACAGCAGGCCTATAACATGAACAGTAATACTAATGAGGCACTCAGTCCTGAGAGTAACCAGCCAGATATGCAAAATGAGGGTGTTTGCTCAAGGACGAAATGGAAAAGGGCAGGAGGGGTAGGATAGAAAAAGTAGAAGAAATGAGAGTCACGTAGATGGAAGTGAAAGAGTACCGTTATATTGTGGATGTTGTCATTAAAGAACCAGGAATGGCATCCACTTTCTAAGCAGCATGCCTCTGGAAACTATCAACTTTGACAAACAGTAGTTCCAGAAAGTCTTCAGATCTTTTGTTCGTAGAGTCACTATAAGCCAAAGGCAACCAGCAACAACAACATTAAGGTTAATGTTATTTTTAAAACAATGAAAAAATCACCAATGACAAACAAATCCTTGCTGTCCAGTCAGAACTGAGTCATAGCTGACCTGAAGCTGTAAATCACAGCTGTAAATCCTCCCTCTGAGTCCCTGCTGGATTCAAACCACCAGAAGGGTACAGCCTTTGAGTCTAGCACCACAACTCCCTACCAGCTAGCCCACGAGAACTCCCTAGTTATAAACCAAAATGTGTGTGGATGTTTGAACAGAAAACCAATTTGTCTGTAAAGTTTCACCCAAATCAAAAGAAAAAATAAGTCTTGACACCGAAGGAGGACTGGTGATAAAGGGGTTAAAGCATTAGACTGGTAACCCAAGTGTTAGTAGTTTAAATCCACCAGTCCCTCCACATGGAAGAAAAACACGTTGGCACGCTTATATACTTGGACACTACGCAGTGTTAATGAGCAGGGAAGACTCTTCATAATGTGGACAAACGTGGAAAACATTGTAAAATAAACAAAGCAGAATCAAATAACACACTGCCCCCCCAGGTCAGACCCTCGTCAGACCCGACTCACAGCTCACCCTCCACAGGGCTTCTAAGGCTGTAAATGGCACAGGGGAGGCTGCCCACCATTCATCCTCAGAGCCACAGGATTTGAATCACCAGAGGCTCATGGCCTTTGGGTGAACAGCTCAACTCCCCGCAGTCTGGGTCACCAGTGCCCGCTAAATCAAACACAAAAGAACTGACATTGTTTTGAATCCATGAAAGGGAAAAAATTAAAGGAAAGGCATAAATGCAGAAAGAAACAGTCTTTGGTAATTACCAGGAATGGGAGGGATAGGAGAGAAAATTACTGACTAGTTGTCATAGCTGACCCTCCAGCGGATTTTTAGAGGCAGTAAAGCATACAGGCGTCTATTACCCATCCAAAACTCAAAATCAGCACAATGTGATTAAGGAAAAGACAGACATGGAAAGGTACACAGGAGTTATGGAGAGCAAAGACATGTGATTACATGGACAACCCTGCATTACCGGTACATGTAGAAAAAATGAACAACTGTGCCGTGTGAGGGAGACTATACCCATGACCATAGAGTCACAGAGGCTTTTCACTTGCTTGTTGGACATCTGAGGGCTGGACAGTGAAGAAGGTTAACAGAAGAAGAATCAATACCTTTGAGTAGTGGTGCTAGAGAAGAGTATCGAGCATGCATTGGACGGCCGAAAGGACAAATAGATCTGTCCTGGAGAAAGTGAAATCAGGTTGCTCCTTGGAGACAAGGATTTCAAAGCTCCTTCTCTCACACTCTGGACATGCTGTCT